TACACATCGCTAACTGGTAGCATTCACATGCCAGCTGTGGTCTATTATTTGGTGACATGCAGGGACTGCTTCTAAGTTGTTTGAGGGGCTTCTATTATCTGAATATATCAACGACAAGATGATGTGACCTGCAGCCCAGTTGGGGGTGAGGTGGTAGAGGTGAGGAATAAGAGAAGTAAAATGTAAGTGCAAAGGCTTTATTCTCTCTGCTTATGGATCTTTCCTCATATCCCCGCACTGACTCCACCAATTCTGCTTCCCAGTGAACAGCCTATGGGGTACCTGCCTGTAACCACCTGGAGCGTCACCAGGTTGGGGGGCGGGGAATTAACAAACACCCTAAAGACTTTGAGGTAGAAGCAGCGCAGGCCTCCTTATAACGTGGGCCAACTGCCCAGTCCCAGACTCCGCGGATGCCCCCCCGGAGTGGTCTCCTGGATCCTCCCTCCTCGGGCAGGCGTCCAGTTCCCACGTGCTCCAAAGGGCTGCCCGCCAGCTGAGACCACAAGGGGGCGACGCCTGACCCACCCAGAGGGCAGAGGGCGCTCCTGCTCCGCTCTCCAGGGGCCGCTCCGGTTCTCGGGGGTGGGGTGCCCTCTGTCCGCCCTGCCCCCCTCACTCGCAGGCCACCCGACTTCCCACTGGCTGGCGGCGGCTGGGTCCTGGAGGCCCGCAAGGCGGGGCCTGCTCAGTGCTCTTCACTGACCGGCTGCGTCGGTAAATCTTGCCCCGCCCATTCGCGGTATCAAAGGTATGGCCCCACAGGCACCGCCCCGTGCCCTGACAGATGAGCCTCCTGGCCAACCAGGCTTCGTATCTTCCTCTAAGTTTTGCTCCGTGTCTCCGCCCCAGCTTTGAGCCCCAGCTTTGAGCCCCATCCGCAGCGGACAAGCTCCGCCTCCAGTCCGCCTCAGAGGAAATTGAGCTCCAGGAGAGGAACCTGCGGGCCTGGGCAGCCTGAGTGCACGTAGTACCTGTAGTTCCTGGGCGGGAGGGTCTGGCCCAGGAGAAGGCAGACTAGGCCCTGCCCTGCCCAACTTCAGTCCAGCCAAAGAGAAGTAAACCAGGGAGTGGGTGTTAGGTAAGGAAAGTACCCTGACCTGACGGGTTAGATGAGGTTTCTTGGAGGAACTGAGACCGGAAGAAGGAGGGAATTCGCTAGACCAGAGGCGAGAGGGTACCCAGGGGAGGGGACAGAGTTCCAGTAAGGGAAAATAACAGGCCTCGGTGAGAGGATCACCATAGGTTCCGGAAACTAAAACAATTTTTGACCAGTATGGCTGGAGCATAAAGTAGTCCAGCAAGAAATAAAGCTGGACAGAGAATGGAAGTCAGATTCTAGAAGACTCCAGAGGTTCACACTTTAGGCTTTTAAAGCGGGACCGTGGCATGATGAGGTCTACGTTTCATAAAGGTCACTCTGCAGAGTGCATTGGGAAAAGATCAGAGTAGAGACAGGAAAATCAGAAGACTGGCATTGATGTGGACTAGGATGGGGGCAGTGAGGATGAAGAGGGGTGGATTTGAAAGATGTTTTGCACATAGAAGTAACAACTCTTGATGAGGTGGCAGGGTAGGTGAGAATTAAAGAGAATGAAGAGTAAAGATGACTTATTTCTGTATCAGCAAGGTCAATGGTGACCATAAAAATTATCACTCTCTTTCCTCCATATTTTTACCACTTTCAGAGCTGTTACTGCCTTGAGTGATTCTCTTTTGCGTAGAGAATTTATTGCTGTTCCAGATTAGAGGTTCCTTGAAGAAATGAACATCTTCAGGTTTTCTTTTGCTTAGATTGTATGGCAAATTACCCATTTGATTATTTGCTGAACGATCCAATGAATGAATGGCCCTAAGGATTTGATCCTCGAAACTAAAAAAAGCTGTCAGAAAGGCCAGTGCTCAAGATGTAGATTTACAGTCATGTGTCCCATAATGACATTTTGATCACCGATGGATTACAGATATGATATTGGTCCCATGAGATTATAATGGAGCTGAAAAATTCTTATCACCTAGTATCAAAGCCATTGTAACATTGTAGCACAATGTATTACTCACATGTTTGTTGTGATGCTGGTGTAAACAAACCTACCATGCTGCCAGTCATATAAAAAGATAGCACACATAATTATGTGCAATACATAATACTTTATAATAATAAATGACTTTAAAATAATAAACGATAATAAACGACTATTGTTACTGGTTCATGTTTTTACTGTATTATACTTTTTATCATTATTTTAGAGTGCATTCCTTCTACTTATTAAAAAAAGCTAACTGTCAGCGTCAGGCAGGCCTTTCAGGAGGTACTCCAGAAGATAGCATTGTCATCATAAGAGATGACAGCTCCGGGTGTGTTATTGCCCCTGAAGACCTTCCAATGGGGCAAGATGTGGAGGTGGAAGACAGTGATGTTGATGATCCCAACTCTGTGTAAGCCTAGGCTAATGTGTGTGCTTATGTCTGTTTTTAACGAAATAGTTTAAAAATTAAAAAGTTAAGATATAAAAAGCTTATAGAATAAAGATGAGAAAGAAAATAGTTTTGTATATCTGTACAATGTATTTACTTTTTAAAGTTATTACAAAAGAGTCAATTTTTTCAAGTTTATAAAGTAAAAACATTATGGTAAGCTAAGGTTATTGAAGAAAGAAAAATATTTTTTCATAAATTTAGTGAAACCTAAGTGTACAGTGTTTATGAAGTCTATAGTAGTGTACAGTAATTTTTCCAACAAAAGAAATATATACTGTTCACAGAATATTAAAAAGACTAGAAGAGAAGGAATCACTTTTCTGATATGAGTCAGTATTTGATCTTACATCATGTTATCACAGTAAAATAGAATCAAAGATTGACTCACCCCAGCATTATCAAAAGACTAGGGAGGCCAGGCGCGGTGGCTCACTCCTGTAATCACAGCACTTTGGGAGGCCAAGTCGGGTGGATCATGAGGTCAGGAGTTTGAGACCAGTCTGGCCAACATAGTGAAACCCCATCTCTACTAAAAATACAAAAAATTAGCCAGATGTGGTGGTGTGTGCCTGTAATCCTAGCTACTCAGGAGGCTGAGGGAGGAGAATCACTTGAACCTGGGAGGCGGAGGTTGCAGTGAGCCGAGATCGCACCATTTCACTCCAGCCCCGAAGACAGTCTGAGACTCTGTCTCAAACAAACAAACAAAAAACCCATGGATCTGGGGGCCAAGCAGCCCTGGGTTTGAATATTGGCTCTATCCCAAACTAGCTGGGCAATTCTGGACAAGTGAGGAATTCCTTAAGACTCAGTGTTAGTTTCCTAGGGCTGATGCGACAAAGCACCAAAAACTGGGTGGCTTAAAACAACAGAAATGTATTGCCTTACAGTTCTAGAGGTCAGAAGTCCAAAATTGGTGTCAGTAGGGTCATGCTCTCTTGAAGGCTCTATAGGAGGATCTGTTCCATCTCCTAACTTCTAGAGGCCCAGGTGTTCCTTGGCTTGCTGAAACACCACTCCAATGCTCTGTCTTCACAGGGTGTTCTGGGTCTCACTGTCTTCTTAAGAGGGCACCAGTCACATTGCATTTGGAACCCACCCTATTCTAGTATGGACTCAAATTACTGTACCTACAATGTCCCTATTTCCAAATAAGGCCACATTCTCAGGTACTGAGGGTTAGGACTTTCACATATCACTTTTCGGGGGACAAAATTCCATCCATAACACTCAGTATCTTCATCACATAGGTGAGAATAAAGGTACCTTCCTTGCAGAACCATTATGAGAACCATGTATGAACTTATTTTTAAAAATTCCTAGCACAGTATCTGACACATGATAAATAAGAAAAGTGAAATGTAATAAAAACTAGTCCATTGGAATGATACGTTCCTTTTTTTTTTTTTGAGATGGAATCTCACTCTGTCGCCCAGGCTGGAGTGCAGTGGCACGATCTCGGCTCACTACAAGCTCCACCTCCCAAGTTCACACCATTCTTCTGCCTCAGCCTCCCGAGTTGCTGAGACTACAGGTGCCTGCCACCATGCCCGGCTAATTTTTTGTATTTTTAGTAGAGACAGGGTTTCACTGTGTTAGCCAAGATGGTCTCGATCGCCTGACCTCGTGATCCGCCCACCTCGGCCTCCCAAAGTGCTGGATACATTACTTTTAGTGGTGAAAAGCACAATTACTTTTGCATCAGTCTTATAGTTATCAGTACTATTCTTTAAACAGTGTTTCTAATATTTTCTGCTATTATCCTTTACAGTCACAAGCAATGAGTTCTGCTTTTCACCCTCTTCTTGCCTCACCCTATTTGTGTTTCTATTTTCACTTTTTTAAAGTAAACTATCTTTATCTATATGTGGGATATACCTTTTAAAAACTCCAGCACACACCTTAATGAAGAGCTCCCAAATATAATCAACAAATGTCTCAGGTGATATGTCCTGGAAGTGAGGGAAGGAAAGGTGAGAAAAAGTAGTGTTTTGCACTGTTTATAATATATTATCTCTAATTCTCATTCCAACCCCATGAGACAAGCATTATTAACCTTGCTTTTGGAAGAAGAAACTCAGACTGAGAGAAGGTTAAGTAGCTTGCTTAAGGTCAGAGCTAGCACGTGGTAGGCACAACATTCCCCCCAGGTTTGTCTGGCTCCAAAGAGCATGTGTATTATTCTCCCCTCCTTCCAGCACCTTGTGGTATTATTGCCAAACTCACATTATCTTTTCCTATTTCCTTTCCAAGTAGTCACTTGGAGCTGTCATTTTCCATATTCATATATTTCACTAAATCCTTGCTTCTCTTTCCCAAAATTGGCTAGAAGTAAAATTGTGAAGTATATAGAAATCTTCTTTTGATCATTTGGTAAACTTTAATAAGGCCTTGTGGAATACTTTGGAGATTGACAATCATACCCAGCCTTTTCTCTTTTTCTGCGTTCTAAGAGACCAAGATGTTCTTCCTTCTGTGTAAGGCCTACCCCTCCTTTGTGCTCTTAATCTCATGCCTTTTAGCCTCTTTGGGGATCTTTATCTCAGAACTGTATCTTTCATAATTCCCACGTCCTCTGCGCTTACTAATATTTCCTATTTTTTAAAAAATCCCTTTATAGCATCCACCCCCCGAGTCACCACCCAATGGCTTATTTTCCATCTTTTTCTTTCGAGCCCTGGAGAGAAAAGTATAGTCTACAGTTGTCAACTTCATTTCTTCTTCAACTAATCCACTGTAGTCAGATTTTGATCCCACCTTCCACTGAAACTGCTCTAAGATTACGTGAAAGCCTTTTAAATACCAAAGCTAATGAATACTTTGAAATCATCATCTTACTCCATTTCTCTGCTGTAGAGGACAGTTTTTGTTACCTCATTCTGTTTAAAACTCTACTTTTTCTTGGCTTCTGGAAGATTGCATCTGTCTGTGCTCCTCTTAGTTTTCTTGAGTTTTTTCTTCCTCTGCATTCTAATATGGCTCGCTGCCTGTCTCTCATTGCATGCCATCCCGGGAATTATTCCACTCTGATAGCTTCAACCAGTGCCTTTATACATAGGTATGCAACAGAGACGTATAGCTGATTCTGTCCTCACCTGACCTCCTCTTTAATATTTCCAAAGGACTTTCTCTTAAGATGAATATTGAAGAAAAAGTGAAAATTCACTGTCAGCCTCTCAAAGTAGAGAGAGAGGGCATTCTAAACAGGCAGTTTTGATATCATGTACAGAAGTACAGAAGTATGAAAGACCAGTAGAAATTGAGAGGGTTGTGGTAAGTTCAGTATTGCTGCAGGGTGAAGTGGAATAGGTGTGGTCAGGATGTGTGGAGAGATGAGAAGTGATGCTAAGCAGATAGGCAGTGGTCAAGTGATATGAAGGGTCTTACTAGCCATGCTAGGTGGTTTCAAATTTTGCCCTGTGTATGGTGAGCCATTGTGGGATTCTGAGAAGAGTAGGTTAATTGGCTCTTAAGTTTTAGAAAGCTTACTGTTAGGAAAGTAAAAGAAGTCTGAGATTAGAAGCAGGAGGCCAAGGAAGAAGTTGTGGTAATAATCCAAGTGAGAGATGGTGATGAGGTGAACTAGGACAATGGACATGGTTTGGAGAGTAGGGACTATGGTGTTTCTAAAGTGGAGAATTTGTTGACAAATCAAAATAATAAAAAGGTGGACTCTAGGATGATGAGGTTTCTGGTTTGTGTAACAGGGTAGATGAAAAACAGTTCAGCACAATGGATTATAGGAAGTGAAGTGTATTTATTGGAAAAAATTCATGTATTGATTCATTCATCAGACAGACATTTAAGCATTTTCTACATGCTAGACACTATGCTAAGCCCCAGAATAATTTCTAATTTGGACATAACTTTGAGAATGCCTTCAAACATCGAGATGGAGATGTGTAGCAAACAGGTAGAGAAAGGCATCTAAAGCTCAGCAGACATGTCTCCATTTTGTTGTCATTATTAACAAGATTGTCACATATGTTCTTGTGGCTAAATTTTTGCCCAGATGCTTAATTATCTACACTGTGCAGAAGATATTAGAGAAATGAGAATGGCTGAAATTTATAATCCCATGCCTTGTCATTGATAGTACTTTGTTTAATAATGTCCTTGTCAACTTTTGTTCTTCTATGATTGACGTAACTTTCCAAAAGGAACAAATGTGCAACTAATGACTGAGTGGTGTGATATAACTGATTTCTGAAAAATTATATAGAATCCAAGGGTTAAATATCCTCTTCATAAGCATTTTTATTACTCTCAGAGACATTTACTACCTTCTTCAGTTTAACATTTCAGTGTTCTTGGACTTAACGTTTTAGATATGATTACTACTTATATATTGTGATAGCATTATGAATAAGCATTATCCTTTTTGGAAAAGGGGAAAAATTTGGAAAGTCATAAATATATGTACCTTTTAATTGAGTAATTCAACTTTTTGAAAATTCAACTACTCTAAGATCATCTAAGCAACAGAAAAAGCTGTATGCATGATGATGCTTATCGCAGCTTTATTTATAGCTTTTAAAGGAAAGGAAGCTGCCTTGGTGTCCATGGGAGTAAATTACAGTTATTTTATGTGTAACCATTAAAATTATGGTTGGAAAATTATAGAGAGACATGAAAAGTGTATATGATAGAATGTTAGGCAATTCAGGAGAAAATTTTAAGTAGACTATAATTATAATCATGTAAAACATACATATGAAAAATAATGTAAGTATATTGCCAAAATACTAACAATAGTTATATTTGGATGGGGGGAATTATAGTTTGTTTGTTTGTTCCCAAATTATCTGAGTATCAGAGATTGATCCTAGGGATCCTAGGGATCACTTGCCCTTTCTCTAGTAAAAGCACCCTGACTCAACAGAGGGAATTGCAGGTTCCTTCTCTGAGTTCATGTGATTTCAGTGGGGTTGACTCCACGCCTGCCAGAGACATAGCCCAAGCCAAGATCATCAAAAGCAATTAGACCCAATTCTAGGACTTTTATTGGAACTTTAGGAAAAGATGCAAGTTATTTCCACTGTGGATCGGTAAGAGGATAGAGTGGAAGCCTGGAGCTGTAGGCAGCCATATAGTCAGAATGGGGGTACAATCTATCTGTGAAAGGAGCCAAGACAGAGGAACACAAAGACAAGAGACGGCAACAAGGAGACTGGATTCTGAGAACACTGAGCCCCAGCACCTAATTGTGTCTGCAGTGAAATTATCCCTGGAGTTTTCAGTTATGTGAGCCCATAGCTTTATTTTGGCTTCAGCGAGTCTATATTTTTTCTCTTTTAATTGACAACAAAAAGAGTCCTAATTAATTTGATAATCAGATTTTGTCACCTTTTTGTTATTTTTTTTTTAAAAAGCATATGCATCATAAGCGTTCCAAACCGTCTTACACATTCTAAAGTTTATACTCATTTCTTGACCTGCACTAGAAGCACAGGTGAAATATTGATTTTAACTTCAGGATTCCAGAAATTCCAGAAATCTTGACTCAGCCCGGTCACATTGCCTTCATAAAGTTACTGAAGGTTTTAAGCAGAGGGAACAAAGTAATACAGAAGGACTTTGTTGTTAGTTGGGCTAGTATGTGATAATTACAGTAATGTATACTTTTTGTTTTGTCTCTCTAGAACCCCTCCCTTCTCCTGCTGACAGCATTCCCTACTTCTTTTTGGGAACTATTGCCTTACCCAGCTCTTCCAGGGATGGGCAGATTATGTAAATGTGGTCATTCAGGATCCTTTTGGGATTTTCCAAATAGAAATTAAGGAAAAAGATTGTTTTTCCTGAAGTTGAAGCAGAAAGATGCTAGTGCCCTTGACTCCAGTCTTCTAGAGGATGCTGGTCTGAGAGAAGGAGGAAAGCAGAGGCAAGATATAAAGTCCAAATGGTAAATAATTCGGTTCTAGTAAGTCTCCAAGAATAGCTACATTCCCGTCCTTTGCATTATTTGATTATATGAGCCAATAAAATTTCCCACACCCCCTAAGGTACTTCCTATTAGATTTGTTCACTTGCATCTGACAGTCCTAGCTAAATGTATGTCTAGTGCCCTGGTAAACCTAGGTAGGGACATGTAGCCTAACCTAAAGGTCATGTCAGATCTATCTGTTCTTCCCTAAACCTGCAGATCTTGGGACCTTGCCACTTTCTAATCAGTGGCATGTTGGAGATCAAGCCAAGGATTTTTACTTTGTGTATGAATGAGGAAGATAGAAGATAGTGCAAGATGGCAAGGCATGTTTTGAAGCAGGAAGTTATTATTTTATTTTATTTTTTGAAGCGGAGTTTCGCTCTTGTCACCCACGCTGGAGTGTAGTGGCATGGCTCACTGCAACCTCCGCCTCCTGGGTTCAAGCAATTCTCCTGCCTCAGCCTCCTGAGTAGCTGGTATTACAGGCACCCACCACCATGCCTGGCCAATTTTTTTGTATTTTTAGTAGAGACAGGGTTTCGCCATGTTGGGCAGGCTGGTCTCAAATCCCTGACCTCGTGATCTGCCTACCTCGGCCTCCCAAAGTGCAGGATTACGGGCATGAGCCACCACGCCTAGCCTGCAGCAGGAAGTTCTAAATCAGCTTACCCACTTAAGTGAAAAGGAGTAACAGAGAGAGAACAGGATGGCTAGTCACCTGTGAGGAGGCAGTTCATTAGCTGTAAAGAAAAAGGAAATGGAAGAGAGAGTATCTACATGGCATTGAAAAATGAAGGAAGCACCCACTAAGAAATGTGATCCAATCAGTGACTTGAAACCCAACTGTATTAGCAATTCCTCTCCTTTGGGAAGGGGAGAAGAGCAAAAACGTGGTGGAAGGAAAAACAAGAGTTGAGAATGGGACAGAAGTTGCATGTTGGTTTAGTACTAGGAGAGTTTTACAGAGATATACTATACTATTCCAGTTTTTTTTCAAACAGAAGGAATGCTTGCTAGATATTCAGTCATCAAAGACAAAACATGGCAGTATATTATTTGTGATTTCTCATTGATATGATACTTCTTATATGAACAGCTAAGTTTGAAGCTCTAAGGAAAAGAAAAGCTCACATAAGACCTGGCTAGACAGGTATGTATATTGAAATTCAATCTTTTCATAATAAAAATCAATCATAAAGATTCTCACATTCTCTCTAATATGAATCGAAATGCACATGATTTTAGTTGTCATCAGCAGTGTTATATAAATTAGCAAACACAAAAAAATATGAAAAAGTTGTTAATATTTATAAATTTAGAGATGTTATTTATATCCTATCCCTTTGAATTTGATGCTAATATATAGAGTTAGTGAGTTAACTTGGGAAAACAGCTTTGAACATGAAATACATTTACTTCAAAGTCAAAGCAATTTTTCTAAAAGGATGAACTAGTTTTGCAAATGTACATGCAAATTTTAAAGGGAGCTGATGTCTTGGTACATGATTCAGTTATTGGAAAACTTCTAAGTATGTTTGAGACAACTTGGGTATATAAATCTATTTTTTCAACTGTAAATTTTATGAAATCTGACTACAAGTATTTCTGATGAAAATTTAGCATCTGCACTGAGATGTGCTGTAAGTGTAAAATATACACGATTTCAAAGACTTAGTATGACAAAAAGAATAGAAAATATTGCAATAATTTCTTATATTGATTACATGATGATATTTGGAATATGCTGGAATATACTGTTCTATCTCAGCGTGAAATTTAATAAGGACAGTGTGGAGGAGGTGGGAGTAACCTTTCTGAGCTTAAATTTCAGTTTATTCCCTTTTAGCCCTCCACTGCATTTCTCAAGGGTTCCTTTGGAAATTATTTAGCCAATGAGCCTCCACTGGAAAACAAATGACAAACATGGAGGAAATGTTTATGTAGTAACATATAGAAAAACATTCTCACTAATAATCAAAAGGATGCACAGTGAAACAGTGATGAATACTCTTTCTTGGATCTTCAGCTCAGCTGTGTACATACCCTAAATATGTGTGTTCCAATTTATAAGGGTGAGCCACTGATTCCAGCTTGAGTTCAAGGGAATTGCCTGGGAGTTCACAGCTCTTGTTTTTCCTGTCTGGAAGTCTTTACCAGAGCAATTGGGCAAAAGAAAGAAACAAGACATTCAGATAGAAAAGGAAAAGGTGAAATTGTCACTGTTTGTTGATGACATGGTCTTATATATAGAAAAATCTAAAAACTCAAAAAAACTACTGAATAATAAATTCACTAAAGTTGCAGGATGCAAAATCAACATGCAAAAATCAGCATTTCTATACACTAACAACATTCTATTTGGAAAAGAAATCAAGAAATCAAGAACAATCCCATTTACAGTAGCCACCAAAACAAACAAACAAACAAACAAACAAAAAAAGCTTAGGAATAAATTTAACCCAGGAGAAGGGCCTATACACTGAAAACTACAAAATGTTAATGAAAAAATCTAAGACAGAAATGGAAAGATACCCCTTCCAATCAATTCATCAATTGGAAGAATTAATATTGTTTAAATGTCCATACTACCCAAAGCAATCTGCAGATTTGAAGCAATCCCTATCAAAATTACAATGTCTTTTTTTTTAATAGAATAGAAAAGATAGTCTAAAACTGATATGGAACCAGAAAAATTTTGAATAGTAAAGGCAATCACTAACAAAAAGAGCAAAGCTGGAGGCAACACAATACCTGATTTTAAACTATACTGCAAAGCTATGGTAATTTAAACAGCTTGGTACTGCCAAAAAAATACATACATTGACCAATAGAACAGAATAGAGACCCAAGAAATGGTGCACGTATGTAAGGTCAATTGATTTGCAGAAAAAAAAGTCAAGAATACACAATGGGAAAAGGATAGTCTGTTCAATAAAAGTCTTATAAAAACTGGGCATCCATATACAGAAGAATTAAATTGGACCCTTACATCATATGCAAAAATCAACTCAAAATGGATTAAAGCCTTAAACGTAAGACTCAAAATTGTAAAAGTGCTACAGGTTGAGTATCTGTCACTCAAAATACTTGGGACTGGAAGTGTTTGGATTTCATTTTTTTATTCTGGAATATTTGCATTACACTTTATGGTTGAGCATCACTAACCCAAGCATCCAAAATACAAAATACTCCAATGAGAATTTCCTTTGAGTGTCACACCAAAACTAAGAACGTTTCAGATTTTGGAGCATTTCAAATTTCAGATTTTCAGATCAGGGATACTAATTTTTTTTTTTTTTTTTTTTTTTTGAGATGGAGGCTTTGTTCTGTCACCGGGCTGGAGTGCCGTGGCGTGATCTCAGCTCACTGCAACCTCTGCCTCCTGAGTTCAAGTGATTCTCCTGCCTCAGCTTCCCAAGTAGCTGGGACTGCACACCACCATGCCCAGCTAATCTGTTGTATTTTAGTAGAGATGGGGTTTCACCATGTTAGCCAGGATGGTCTTGATCTCCTGACCTCGTGATCTGCCCACCTTGGCCTCCCAAAGTGCTGGGATTACAGGCATGAGCGACTGCACCAGGCCTAGGGATACTAAATTTGTAGAATAAAATATAAGGAAAAACTATATTACATTGATCTGGGCAATAATTTTTGGACTTTTTTTAACCCCCAATGCTCAGGTAACAAAAGTAAAAATAGACAAATGGGACTGTATCAAACTAAAAAGCTTCTTCACAGCAAAGAAAACATTTAGCAGTATAAAGAGACAACCTATGGATTGGGAGAAAATATTTGCAAGCCATACATCCAATAAGGAGTTAATATCCAAAATATATAAGGAACTCAACTCAATAGCAAGAAAACAAAGAAACCCAACTAAAATTGGGCAAGGGACCTGGGAATAAACATTTTCTCAAAAGAAGATATATAAATGGTCAACAGATATATTTTTAAAATGCTCAACATTGCTCATCATTAGGAAAATTCAAGTTAAAATGTCCATATCATCTCACACTTGTCAGAATGGCTATTATCAAAAAGCTGAAAGAGAACAAGTATTAGGAAGATTTGTGGAAAAAAAGGTCCCTCTTGTATACAGTTGGTAGAAATGTAAATGAGTACAGTCTTTATGGAAAACTGTATGAAGTTCCCTCAAAAATCTAAAAATATAATTACCATATGACTTAGCAATTCCACCTCTGTGTATTGACTCAAAATATTTGAAATCAGTTTGTCAGATGTCTGCACTCCCATGTTCCTTGCACTACTATTCAAAATAGCCAAGTTATAGAATTAATCTAGATGTACATCAACAGATGAATGGATTAACAAAAAAGTGGTGTGCATATATACAAAATGGAATACTTTTCAGCCTTAAAGATTCTGTCATTTGTGACAATATAGATGGAATAGGGAAACCTGATGCTAAGTGAAATAAGCAGGCACAGAAAGACAAATACTGCATGTCCCCACTTACATGTAGAAACCAAAACAATTGAACTCAGAGGCAGAGAATAGAATGGTGGTTACAGAGGCTGGAGGGTGAGGAGAATGTGGAGATGATGGTCAAAGGGTACAAAATCTCAGGAGAAAAAAGCATTATTTTTTCTTGAGAGCTATTGTACAGTATGATAAATATAGTTAATAATAGTGTATTCTACATTTCAAAATTGCAAAGAGAGTAAATTTCAAATGTTCTCATCACAAGAAAAAATTTTAGGTGATATGTTAAATAGCTTGATTTAGTTATTACACATTATATTCATAAATCATAATATCACTTTGTACTCCATAAATATATACATTTATAAATTATCAATTTACAAAAAAAAAAAAGGAAAGATACATTTGGTTTGAGATGAACCTATAGTGGACTCTCCTCCCCACTCCCACAGAAGGAAACTAGATATTTGTCTACTAATCAGTGAGGAAAACTGCATGTTTATAGGGAAGTGAGGTTGGCATGTTATGTTATGAAATCTGCTGAGTGGCCTGGATAGTATCTTGTTGGAGAAAGGACTCCTAGTCAAGTTTTAGACCTAATTCTGCTTCTAAGATACTTGCCCTGGAAAACTCACTGATGTGTCTAAGTCTCTTTTCTTTAATTTGAAAATTGGGCATTAAAACAGCTGAGCTTCAGAGTCCCTTTGAGGTCTATCATCCTAAAATTATGTAATTTGTGAATCACAATAATTTCGGAAAACATAAGTACATTTTTCCTCCATATAGGGCCAACATCCGTAATTCTCAAACTCTATTATTAGAGAAGATAAAATAGAAAAAAAAAAAAAAACAGGTTCCATGACTATTTTAAGAGTCTATTAGCATAACTCCATGAAGCATTTTGGTAAGTGACCTTGTTGTAATTCTGCAGCTTTAAACTTCAAGAAAGTTTTCAGACCAAGCTGTATCAGCCTTGGAGAGTGGGTGGCTGAAGGAGAAAAATGGGTAGTATGTCTAAGCCTCTGTACACTGCAATGAACTCAGAAGTGACACTGTACATTGTCTGGGCCAGAGATTGATGAGATGCACCTGACTCAGATGAAGACCTATCCTGATTAGTCTATAGACAGAACTACTGGAGGGGATTAATCAAGCTTCACATGACCCTCACTTACTTGGACTTAGCAACATCTGTGCTTCCTTCCCCTCCCCTCCATCAGAATCAGGGAGGGGGTTCTAGAAGCTTGCCCCTGCATGTTTGCTCTAAAAAATAATGCTGAGTTTTGTATCCTTCCTTTTGTACCCTTTAGAGAATTAAACTTTGTTTGAAAAACCCAAGAAAGATTATGTCAGATATTTCCTGTAGTCTGAAACTGTAATTGAACTTAACAGTACAGTGGTTGTTTATGTAAAAATGAAGGAATCCAGCCAGGCATGGTGGCTCACACCTGTAATTTCAGCACTTTGGAAGTCTGAGGTGGGTGGATCATGAGGTCAGGAGTTTGAGACCAGCCTGGCCAATGTGGTGAAACCGCATCTTTACTAAAAGCAGAAATTAGCAGGGCGTGGTGGCGTGCACCTGTAGTCCCAGCTACTCGGGAGGCTGAGGCAGAAGAATCACTTGAACCAGGGAGGTGGAGGTTGCAGTGAGCCGAGATAGCACCACTGCATTCCAGCCTGGGTGACAGAGTGAGATTCTGTCTCAAATAAATAAAAAGAATCCAATAATTTATTCTTGGTCTAGTATAGACACAAAGCATATGTTGAGGCAACCAAGAATCGAGTAGCAAATGAAACATTAGAATTTCCTGTGAGAACAAATACTACATGAAATGAAACTGGACCTCCAAATCTTTATCTTAAGGATAGCAAGAAATAACCAACAGTAAATCCCATACATTCAGAAGAGCCAGCAGAAGGCAGCAGATCTCATTGACTAGGGGAAGCACTTGCCCTACAGTAGATCTAAGGTCATATTTCTTTACTAAGTCATATTTTTTTCGTTTCAATTATACGAATTGAATCAATCTACTTCATGGGTTTCTTTACTTTGCATTCACTTTTGAAGGATATTCTCCCTGCATGTGAAATTTTAGGAAGAAAGTTTAGTGGGAGTTTTTTCAGCACTTTACACATGTTGTTCCTTTGTCTTGGGTCCTCCGTAGTTTTTTGTTTGCGTTGTGTTTTTGTTTTTGTTTTTGACACGGGGTCTCACTCTTGCCTAGGCTGGAGTGCAGAGGCACGATCTTCATTCACTACAACCTTGGCCTTCTGGGCTCAAGCAGTTCTCCCATCCGAGCCTCCCAAGTAGCTGGGACTACAGGTATGTACCACCATGTCTAGCTAATTTTTGTATTTTTTGTAGACGAGGTTTCACCATGTTGCCCAGGCTGATTTTGAACTCCTGGACTCAAGCAATCCACGTGCCTCGGCCTCGTGAGCCACCATGCCTGGTCAGGTCCTCCAGTGTTTCTGATGAAAAGCCAACTGCCATTCTTCTCATTGTTCCTTTTTATGTATTGTGACTGTATTTTTCAGGTTATTTTAAAGACTTTTGTTTGTTTTAAAAAAAGGCTTTGGTCTTCAGTAGTTTGATTATAATGTGCCTATGTATGGTTTTCCTTGTGTTTTTCTTGCTCTGAATTGTTGAAATTTTTGGATTGTAGATTGATTTGTTTTTAACAATTTAGAAAAATATTTGCTAT